ACCACTCCAGAGACCACCCTTCCTACGTCTACCACCACACAGACACCAACCCCAACTGCAACCACCACTACAGTCACTACATCATCACCAACAGAGACCACCCCTCCTACACCTACCACCACACAGACACCAACCCCAACTCCAACAGAGACCACCACTACAGTGACTCCAACACCAACACCAACCACCACAGGGACCCCCATTTCAACATCTACTACCACACAGACACCAACCCCAACACCCACACCAGTGACCTCCACCCCTACCCCCACACAGACACCTACCCCAACTCGTACCACCACTACCAAACCTCCCACTGAGTCCCCGACGCCTGTGATCTCTCAGTCTACTTCTTCCCCACCCACGGAGTCCGTCACTCTTCCAAGCACTCCTGTAACTACCATAGCAACACCTAGCACGCAATCATCACCCGGAACAACATCACCATTCATCACTTTGTCAGTGGGCAGCACTTCGTCTCCATCTCCAGGTTCAAAACCAGGACCTACCGTACCTCCAGGTAAGCTGACGTGAAGCCACCCCTATTCCTCCTCTCTTACGAGAGCTTCTCTTTGCCTGGAAGAGAGGTGTCAAGATCTAACCCTGATGTCAGTACTTTGCTCATGACCCTGCCCTTTCCCAGGGAGGCCTGTCCCCTGGAAGGTTTGAGGCGGGCTACGGGCGTCTTCTCTGCCTGTGAGTCAGGTTCCTGGGCGCGATGAGTTGGAGGGAAACAAAAGTCGCTCCCTCTCCGTAGACAGGCTTTGCTCAGGCAGGGCTACATCAGCGCAGATTTTGCAGCCCAGCAGGCATGGGAGTCCATGTGGGAAAGCCCTCCCAGGAAAGCCCTGGCTAGGTGGAGCCAGGGCTGGTATAAGGCAGAGGGCCTCTCCTGTCTGGGTATGGCACGAGAGGGTAGCTAGTCTGGCACTGGCAGATGTCCAGTGTCCAGTGTGACAGTCACAGTGTGGATGGTGATGTCAAATCCTGGTGAGTGGATAGAAGGCTTTGACACCTTCCCATGGCTTCTTGAGCAAGCTGTTATCTCACAGTGATGGGGCCTTCAAGTAGATCTCTGTAGCACCTGAGATGAACAGTGCCATCAGCTCATGATGTAACTGTTCTTACGGGCGTGCCTACCTCCTCAGAGACCACAACGGGGCCAACCTCACCCACCACAAGACCACCCTCCACAACCACCCCTACAGTTCCTACTGTGACAACGACCACCCCGGAAACCACCACACCAACTACTTTGGAGACCACCAAGACCTCGTCTTGGAGCACAGTCTCCTCAGTCTCCCCAATCACCTCTCCCAGCACCACCTGGACCAGCATTGCAACCTTGACTACCTGCTGCGTTGTGGAAAACATATATTATGGCCCAGGTATTCATGGTGTTCCTGTCTAATGTTCACAGAGCTCATGCTGGTCCCTGCTTTTACCAGTGGGTGGACCCCAACTTGAAGCTTGATCAGGAGGGTGGCGGCTGGAGGCTGGCCATGGGTGAATGTTTTTTGTGGCCAGCTTCCCCTTGCTGGAGACGTAAACCAGAGATCAGGGCTCTTCCAAGGCTTGGAGAACAAGTAGAGGTGGAGCTTAATTCTTTTTCTGTTGTAACCAAATAGTTGAGGCCAGATGATTTATAAATCATAGATGGCCATTTAGCTGGCAGTTCTGGAGGTAAGGGGGTACAGGAACATGGCACTGGCATTCTGCACCAAAACATGGTCCAGGTTTCAGGTATGGCACAAGTGTGTTAGCTCTAGTCTCTCTTCCTTTTCTTGTAATGCCACTAACGCTATGCTAGGGGCTTCACCCTCATACCTCAGGTTCACCCTCATACCTCATCTAACCTGGGTATCTCCGCTAAGGTCCTTCCCCCGGTGCAGCGAGCCTCTCCCTGTTGGCCTCCGTGGGGGTCTCGTCAGTGTGTTCTGGTGGCCAGATCTGCCTCTGGATGGTGTAAAAACGGCATCTCTCTCTTCCCTTGTAGGTGAAATGATCTACAACAGTACCCACGGGGACAGGTGTTATTACGTGAACTGCTCCGAGGACTGCCAACTCCAGATCTTCAACTGGTCCTGTCCATCTACTCCTCCAACTACTACACCCTCCACGCCAACGTCCTCTCCGACGACCACACCCTCTACTCCCCCAACTACTACACCCTCCACACCATCCACCACATCTTCAACCTCTACGCCCTCCACGCCCAAATCTACAATGTCAACACCCAGCACACCAACCAAAACTACCACCCGTGGATGCCTCGACTTTGATCCTCCCAGACAGGTCGGTGGGCAGTATGTGGCTTTGTTACCCTGGCACCTGACAGGTCCGTGCCCCCGTGCTCATGGGCTGAATGACACCCTCCCTGGTTATCCAAGCTACCCATGTCCCCACACCCTGCCCCTTCTCCACTGGGGCTGATACTTCCCAAAGCATCATGGGCACAGGTCCTGCTGGCCTTCTCTTTCTCTCTCTCTTTCTCTCCCCGCCCCCGCCTCATATCCTGCCTTTTGTGTTTTTATCCTAGCTTCCCTCAGCTCTGTAGACAGGGGAAGCTAAGCTGGGCCGCTCGGTGACTGTCCCGTCTCATCCCTCCCGCAGGTGAATGAGACCTGGTGGCTGTGTAACTGTACCATGGCCATTTGCAAGCATGACAACGTAGTGGAGATTGTGGAGCTGGAGTGCAAGCCCCCGCCCATGCCCACCTGTTCCAACGGCCTCAAGCCCGTGCGTGTCGAGGACCCTGATGGCTGCTGCTGGCACTGGGAGTGTGACTGTAAGGCCCTTAGCTATCCGGGGGTGCACCTGATTTGGTGTTGGTGGCTACAGGGCCGGCCTCCTGGGAGCAGACTTAGATTGACAAGTACCTGCTGAAGGCCAGGCACACAGTCTTAGGGACTTCCCGACATACATTATGTTTGCTTGAGCAGGAGGCCTGGGCAGGTAGAAGCAGCTTTCAGAGTAAGGAGTTTCTGAGATTAGGATTGACCTTCTGACTCTAAGGCAAGGACTCATCCTACAGAAGGAGGGTCTCTGGACCAAATGGGAAGATGCTAGAGGCTAGACCCTAGAGAGGCTCAAAGTAGGGACCAGGTTTTCGGTTTTGTTTTGTTTTTTAGACTTCTTTAGTTACTGCTAGTTTTCCCAGCCTATCCCCTGAATCCTCACGATGACTTGATTCCAGTGGTTCTGGCCCGATGATACCAATTTATGGAGCTTCCTCCACAGGCTACTGCACCGGCTGGGGGGATCCACACTTTGTCACCTTCGATGGGCTCTACTACAGTTACCAGGGTAACTGCAGCTACGTGCTAATGGAGGAGATTAACCCCACGGTGGACAACTTTGGTGTCTACATTGACAACTACCACTGTGATGTCAACGACAAGGTGTCCTGCCCCCGCACGCTTATTGTGCGCCACGAGACCCAGGAAGTGCGGATCAAGACAGTGAACTTGATGCCCATTGAGGTGCAGGTATGGGGCTGGGACCGACTGGGCATCCACAGTATGTCCGTCACGGCCTTCTAGTGTGGGCCCCGGCAGCAGAGGACCAGGCTGCATGTCCACTGGGCCAGGCTGGAGCCATGACACATGTTGGGGCTCCTTAGGGCCGTGTCAGCTCTTCTCACGGGCTTTCTACGTGAGCACAGAAACTCCTTCTCTGAGGATAGGTGACTGGATCTAGCTGGGTCTTCTCTATCCTCTGGGGCCACTGGTGATGTTGATGGAAACAGCTGAGGAGCCCTGACCCTTTCAAGGAGCTTCAAAGTCTCTGAGAAGTCTCTTTTGCCTTCTCCTGGGATGAGATGGGACAAAGGTCTGTCCCAGTTATGGTGGAAAGGCAGCAAGAAGAGAAGAGAAGGAGGCGAGGGACAGGAAAAGCTCCCCTTTTCAGATCAAGGCGGAGACATCCCAAGGTGCAAATTGGTCTTCTTGGTCAGCTATATGGCTTCCAGAGAGGGCCATGGTGGGACAGTACAGAGCAGGGCAGGCCTCTATCAGGTGTCAGGCTTCTGTCTCCTGTCTCAGAGACCCTCCTTGACTCAGACATGTTGATCACAGGTACTGGTGAACAAGCAGGTAGTGGCTTTGCCCTACCAGAAGTACGGGCTGCAGGTGTACGAATCTGGCATCAACTTTGTGGTGGACATCCCCAGGCTGAAGGCCCAGATCTCCTACAACGGCATGTATTTCTCCATCAGGCTGCCCTACGAACTGTTCGGCAACAACACAAAGGGCCAGTGCGGTGAGTCCCCCCCCCCCGGCCTCTTCCCTCGGAGGGCAAGAATAGGTGTGAGCACCTGTCGCCTAGCTGTGGCTTCGCTGCTCCTCTGTGGACAGTCACTGTGGCATTGTCTTGCGTTTGGCCCTTGTGAGAAACCAGCAGATGTTGGCTTGGCCTTGGCTTTGCCCTCTGGCCTGACCAACGGAACACACGGAGCCTGGACTGGAGAAGGACAGGTGCCAGGGCTTGACCTGAGTCTGGTAGTGCTGTCTTGGCCCCGCCTTGATGGGAGGCTTCTCTGTACACAGGAACCTGCACCAACAATACGGCAGATGACTGCATCCTACCCACTGGAGAGATCGTCTCCGACTGCGAGGTTGCTGCTGACCAGTGGCTGGTGAACGACCCCTCCAAGCCACACTGCCCTCACAGCGGCTTCACCACCAAGCGCCCGGCCATCACGTCAGGGCTTTTGCCGAATAACTGTACTCAGTCTCCTGTGTGCGAGCTCATCAAGGACAGGTGACCTGTGGGAAGTGGAGGCGAGAGGGTCCAGTGAGATCCTGTTTCAAAAAAAAAAAATGCAGGGTCTCAAGAGGTCTTACCTTTCTACTGTCCCTGCTGTCTACCAAGTAGCAAAGAGCAGCCCCTGGGTGGGCCTGCAAGAGCTGAGGTTATGTCACTGTGGATGGGTGTCGGGTCACAGGGGCCGCCGGACTTGACTTCTGTTTCCCCAGGCCCTAGCTATTATCTCTGACACTCCCTACCTCAGCACCCTCCTTTCTTCTCAGAGTTTCTCACCTCCTGGCCAGGTGCAGGCTCAGCTGAGCTGGAGACCCTGAGTAGATCAGCTGACCAGAAAGCATTAGCCTCTCAGGGAGGCAGGTCCAGGCTTGGGCACAGGTCAGGGGCTTCTAAATCTGGTAGCCACAGGAGGACTTCCCCTGTTCCCTGGAGGTGTTTGGATGAAGGCTAATCTAGGTGAGCCTTGGATTTTTCTGAGGGGACAGTCTGGCAACTAGTGACCTTTCAGGTGTGCATAGTATGTCTCTAGATGCCTGGTGACAGACATATATGTCCTTTCTTTCCTAGAGAACAGCCCTCTCTGGCTTCCGCTGCTGCTAACCAGAGTGCCTCTTTGGCTGGTGCCTCTGAGCAGGCTCTGGCAGGGCAGGGGGAGGCCGGGAGAGCATGTGGAGAGGCTTGGGAGCTGACCCGAGTGTGACCCACCTCTCCCTGCACAGCCTCTTTTCCCAGTGCCACCCCTTTGTGCCTCCTAAGTACTACTATGAAGCTTGCCTGTTTGATAGCTGCTTTGTGCCTGGCTCCGGTATGGAGTGTGCCAGCGTACAGGCCTACGCGGTCCTCTGTGCCAAGGAAGGTGCCTGCATTGACTGGCGGAGCCATACCCAGGGGGCCTGCCGTAAGTGCCGCTCATCTCTCCCCATGTGCTGCTCTGTGCTGGGGCCTGTGGGTCAGGCAAGGGTCCTGGGCAGTTTCCCATCCTCTGCTGGCAGGGGGTGAAGTCCTGTGTGGGAAGGGCTGGGTAGTTCTGTCACTGCAGGGAGGGACAGGGTTCTCCATCTGGATATGACCTTCCCAACGGTTGCGCTTCTCCTGCAGCTGTGAAGTGTCCATCTCACAGGGAGTACAAGGCCTGTGGCCCCGCAGAAGAACCCACCTGCCAGTCCAGGTACGCTGCCTGAAGATTCCTGCTGGTTCCCCAGTCCAGCTCATGCAGCCCAGTCGGCTGTAGCCACCCCCCTCCCAGAGCTGTGCCCCAGTCTGTGGCCCTTCTTCCTTCTGAGCATGTGTCTTGCCATTCTAGTGCCTTTGAGAATTCCACACTCTTGGTGGAAGGCTGCTTCTGTCCTGAAGGCACCACGAAATTTGCTCCCGGCCGTGACGTCTGTGTGGAGACATGTGGTAAGCTTCCTGCTTCTGCTGCCTCCCTCCTGTTTCTTCTGTGTCTGCAGAGGTGAGACCAGGAGGCTCATCACAATTCCCTATAATATCATGGCAGTGTTATCTAAGTTTGCCTCCTCTCTCCCTAGGATGTGTGGGACCCGACAATGTGCCCAGAAAGGTAGGTTCCCCCTTGTGCTGGGAGAATTCTCCCTAAAATCCTGAGCTTTGGGGAATGAGTGGGGTGAAGTGATATGATAGCCTGGGAGTCATGAGCCATGTAAGTCCTGGGTGAGATCCACCCACTCATCCACCTGCCCATTGGTGCCCATCAACCAATCATCCATCCATCCATCCATCCATCCATCCATCCATCCATCCATCCATCCTTGAACCATCCGTCATCCATTCATTCATGCATTAAACAATCTGTTATCACCCAGTTATTCATTCACCCATCCATCCACTTACCTATCCATTGTCCATCTGACTACCCATCAGTCTACCCAATACCATCCATCATCTGCCCATCCATCCGACTTTATCCATCCAATCACCCATCCATTATCCATCTGTCCTCTATCCATACATTCATCAACCCACCCATCCATCCATTAATTTATCCTTCTTTCATCCATTATTCAATCAGCCATTCATTCATTCATTCATTCATTCATTTATTCATCATTTACCCACCTATTCTACACCCTTCAATCTGTCCTACTACCCATCCATCTGAAACACTCATCCTCCATTCACCCGCCTGCTATCCATCTAGCCACCCATCTATCATCCATCTGTCTTTTGTTCATTCATCCACTTACCCATCTTCCATTCATCCATCATTCACTCACATCCATCTATCCATAATCTACCCATCCAAAAACCCACCCATAATCTATCCATTCTTCCCCTAGCTCCATTCACCTATCTACCCACCCACCCACCCACCCATTCAACTTCACCTCACTATCCATCCATGCAACCAACCACCAATCCATCATCCATCCATCCTTCTATCTTTCTAATCATTCATTCATCCATCAAACCATCCATTCATGTATCCGCCCATCTACCCACCAGTCACATAATACTCTGACTAAATGCGGAAATTGGCTATTGTTGCTTCCTGTGTGTGCTCACAACCATTGGTTGACTCTTTAGCTCAATTAAAAAAAACTGATAGACAATTTGTGGTGTCTCTGTTATGTACCACACGGATGTCGGTGAGTGCTGGTGAGCAGGGCAGAACTGTGTAGTATCAGTGGCCTTGAATGAACAGCTGCTGGTCTGTCCCTGAGCCTGCCCTGTGAGCTCAGAGGTAGTGAAAGATATGGCTTTCTCACTTGACCTCTCACCTGGCTACCCTGTTCAGCTCTTTTCTCCCTGGGTGGCCTTGGATGTTCCACAGTAGGGCTAGCCTGGTGCTAATCTAATCCTTCCTCTTTGCAGTTTGGAGAGCACTTTAGGTTTGACTGCCAGGACTGTGATTGCCTGGAGGGTGGAAGCGGCATTGTCTGCCAGCCAAAGAACTGTTCTGGAGGGGACCAGCAGACATGTGAGGAGGATGGCACCTACCTTGTTATGGAGGTCAACCCAGAAGACACATGCTGCAATATCACCACATGCAGTAAGTCCACCCCGGGGACATGGGAGCCGTTCTCACACTGCTGGGGCCATGCTCCTGTAACTGAGCATGCCCACTGCAGGGGAGGCTTTCTGCCATGCCCTCTCTGGTGAGTTCAGGTTGTGCTCACTTGAGTGGGTGGTGGTAGTGGCTGTTGGATCAGGCCAGGAGCCTCTGCTGCAGGGGCTGGTCCTCGTGGGAGCCACAGAGGCCTGGAGCCATGCTATGCACTGGGGGGGTGGGTCTCTGCCTGTGGGAGCTGTCCTGGTCACCACACTCCTGCTCTGTCTTCAGAGTGTGACACCAAACAATGCAAAGCGCAACGCCCCTCATGTTTGCTGGGATTCGAAGCGAAGATCGAGCACGTGCCTGGGAAATGCTGTCCAGTTTACTCCTGTGGTAAGCGAGGCCAGCAGGGCAAGGGAAGGCCACAGGCAGGACAGTGAACAAGGGGCCAGTGGAGGGAACATGCTCTCTCCTTGGACTTCTTTATCACGGCCATGGCTGTGTACCCACTCAGCCCTGAGCATCTATTCAGTTATATGTGCCAGGCTGAGGCTCAGGATGGCCTCTGATGGCTTTTCCCACTCTTTCCTCCAAGTGCCCAAGGGCGTGTGTGTGCACCAGAACGCTGAATATCAGGTGAGTTCTGAGCTGGGAGTGGGCAGGGAGGGTGGGTGGCATTGCCCTTGTCCGTCTCCCAAAGATGGAGTACGCGTGGGTGGTGGTGTGTGCGGCAACTTTACTTCTGCTCGTTCCCGAAGCCCGGATCTCCAGTCTATTCCAACAAGTGCCAGGACTGTGTGTGCACCAGCATCATGGACAACAGCACCCAGCTCAACGTCATCTCCTGTACCCATGTGCCCTGCAACAGCTCCTGCAGCTCCGTGAGTATGGCTTCTCTCTCCTCTCCCTCTCTCCGCCTCAGTTCATCACCTTCCCATCTTCTAAGAGGCACACGGCTCGCGTTTATTTCCATGACTTGCCTTCAGTTTTGTGCTTTAAATCTTCCTTGCCAAGTTGTGCCCATCTCTCCCTCCTACCATGCCACTTGTTCCGTGTGCAGCCTCCCCCAGGGGAGGCATTCCAGTGACCCCCGTGTCCTGCTTGGGTGTGGGGACGAGTCTTTGAACTCAGCCTCATCCTCTTCTGTGTCTACAGGGCTTTGAACTTGTGGAGGTCCCTGGGGAGTGCTGCAAGAAGTGCCAGCAGACCCACTGCATCATTGAGAGGCCCAACCAGCAGTACCTCATTCTGAAGGTGTGTGCACGGTGGGAAGCGCTTCGGGCTCCACCGATGAGCTTGCCAGCCACTGAGGGCAAGGCTAAGATGACTTTGGGCTTGAGTCGTCCCAGGTTCCACATAGCTTGGTGTGAGTGACCATATTTGGGTGGCTTAAAAAAAAAAAAAACCATTTGTGGCTGCTCCACTTCTGGGGCTCTGAAGTTCAGGATCAATGCTGGCAGAAGCTGTGAGGAGTCCTTCCTGCCGCCTCTTCTTTGGGCTCCAGGCGAGATTGTTTGTGTCATCTCTGATGTAACAGTCTTCATGTAGCAGTCTTCCTTCTATCTGAGCCCACGTCTCCTCATCCCTGGAGTTAGGACTTCCTTGATGGAGGATGGTATCCTCTCCAAAGGATGACCTCATCTCCAGATTCTTTTCTTGAGCTTTCCAAAGATTCTTTTCCCATTCAGAATCACTTCCTCGTTCACAGGTTAGAGATTTTTGTGTTGTGTAACCATAGGCTGGTAATTTTCAGTCTCCAAAACTCTCTTGTCCAGTGACTCTGGACCTAAGGGCTAGCCTCCTGTCAGTGAAGCTGTACATCCCAGATGTTCCTGGGCTGGCCTCTGGAGTGCACTTGCTTACCTTTGTTCTAACCGTGTTGTATCTACAGCCTGGGGACATACAGACAAACCCCAACGACAAGTGCACCTACTTCAGCTGCATTAAATTCAACAAACAGCTCATCTCCTCTGTCTCCAACATCACCTGCCCTGACTTCAACCCCAGTGATTGTGTTTTGGTGAGTGGGACCCCTATGGTACCAGCCCTGTATGTTCTGCCAGGATCATTGGACCCCAGTTTCCAGGAGGCTTGTTCCACATTCTCCTGTAGGACAGCCCTTATGCACTCCATGGCAAGAGGGGGCACTCACCTGCTGGGGGTACTCTGGGTTCCCTTCTCATTCCTCTTTCTTTTCAGGACTCCATCACTTACATGCCCAATGGCTGCTGTAAGACATGTGAGTACAGCTGGGGACGGGTAGGGTGGTGGCTGGTGGCTGGTGGGAGGTGGCTGGAATTTACTTAGAACCTTGGGCAGGAAGACACAAGGGCAGGCTGCTGCAGGACTCCTGTCCCTGCTTTGTCTCCTACACTCATGTGGATGTAGAGGGACCCGAATCCCCTTTCGGGAAGAGCCTGGGTGGTCCTCAGCTGCATACTGTGTCTCGTTTCCTGAAAGGGAAGTGGGGCTCGGAGTTAAGGGCTAGCCATGCTTGGAAAAGGGAGAGAAAATGGCACCAGAGAGGTAGAGGTGGAGGTGGAAGTAGAGGTGGAGGTGGAGGTGGAGGGAGAGGGAGGGAGAACGAGCACCCCAATCTTAGGCCACCCTCTGCACCTCCATCTCCTTCCACAGGCATCCCTCGAAACCAGACCAGAGTCCCTTGTTCTGCCATCCCCGTCATGAAGGAGATTTCCTACAATGGCTGCACGAAGAACGTCTCCATGAACTACTGTTCTGGGTCCTGTGGGACTTTTGCCATGTGAGTCCCAGGTTTCAAGATTGAGATGGAGGGCTGGAGGAGCTCACGGACAGGCCCCAAAGAGGGAGGGTGCTGATGCTGTTCCCGGGGAGGCTGGCACTCATTCTGCCCTTCCTGTCCCCAGGTACTCTTCCCAGGTCCAGGAGCTGGATCACAAGTGTTCTTGCTGCAAGGAGGAGAGGACCAGTGAACGCGAGGTGACCCTGGAATGCCCAGATGGCACTGAGCTGAGCCACACCTACACACACATCGAGAGCTGTCTGTGCCAGGATACCGTCTGCGGGCTCCCACAGGCCCAGCAAGGCCGTGTCAGGCGTTCTAGTTCCTGGCTTCTGGGAAGGAAGTGAACGGGTTCTACCGAGCACAACCCTTCCTATCTTGCACCATCCTGCTAACCCTCTGAGCTTCCTTCGCTTCTAGCTTGTCTCCTTCTCTGTAGATATTTATTTTCAGAGTTTCTATTTTATCCTTTGCTTTCTGATAATAAACCCAGGCATAACCATGCATACCAGCCACAATGTGACTCTGCCATCTGTATTGCTTTCCCTTGGGCTCTGCCTGTTCAGAGCTCTGGTTGAGGGAAGCCACCTCCACACCATGAGTGAAAAAGGCCTCAGATTCCTTTTCAGGGTTCTCTGCTATGGGAGAGAACTTTTGCTCACGTGCTCTGGGGACGGTGTGTGTGTGTGTGTGTAGATGTGAGTATACAGTATGCATGCACACAAGTGTATTGCCATGTGTCTGTGCCTGTGTGGTGTGAACACATCACTGAGGCTGTCTCGGGTCGTAGCCTGGGGGCAGGGCATTGGCTTCTGCTGCAAATAGAAAGAAAAGCAGCCATAACTTTGTGGACCGGGTTGCTTACTGCTGTGTCACTGTGATAAACATACCTGACTAGAAACGACGTAAGGGGAAGGAGGATTTATTTTGCTCATGGTTTTGAGGGATCAGCCCACGATCACTTGACCCTATGCATTTGAGTAGAACACCAAAGCAGCGGGGACACTGGGCAGAGACCAGCTGTTCATAGTATGATGGGCTAGGAATCTGACTGAGCATGACCGGAAAGGGCCAGGGATAATATCCTCCAAGGACTCAGCCCCTCATAACCCTTAGCCAGGTCTCCCCTGCCAAGTTTCTTGAACCTCCCCAAATAACACCCTTTTAATCTGTGAGCCTTTTTTTGAGGGGGAAGGGGGCTACTCCATACACAAACCATAACATGGCTTCTCAAAGACTGCTGGGCAGCGCTGTCAAACCACATGGTTCTACCAGCATGAGCTTATGTGGTTCTTTGGGAAAATGTCAATTCCCTTAGCTTGCTCTTGTATTGGTTCAAACCCCAAGGGGAGGATGCTGTGAATCTCTCCTACCCAGAGTCTCAATAATCATGAATAGGGTTTATCTACAGGAAACTTTCTAACCTGGGTTAGTAAAAATGGACTCTTCAGAAATGACAAAAGCTGGCAAGTGTCAAAGGCTTGCAGCAGCATGTGGCCTATTTTCCTCATGCTTCCTGCTTGCTGCAGCTTGGCTGGCATCATATTGCATGCCTCAGATGCCCAGAACCTGAGATGGCAGAGAAGCTTTCATCTCTAAGGGCTCTTCTGTCGTGATGGCTTCAGCCAGCTCAGGAGTCTTCCCAGAATCCATCCTTCAAGTGGTCCAGCTCGGCAGACTTTGGATGCTGGGATTGTAATACTACCATTAGGCAGCTGGGGGAGCCAGAGGCACTCGGTAGCTGTCCAGTGATGGCTGTTGGATGGGTACAACCAAACTTTTTTGGGAAAAGAAAGTGTGTGTGTGTGTGTGTGTGTGTGTGTGTGTGTGTGTGTGTGTGTG